ATTTGAAAAATGAATTTTGCAATAAACAGTATATTTTTAAAATTTATGCTATAATTATCTTTTGGAGTAAAATAATTTAACATGATTTTTATCTTTTTTTAATAGAACACTGTTTTGGAATATTAATAAAATTGATTCAACTTTAAATTGATGCAAAAATCAATTTGTGAACTGAAAGTTGTAATTGTAGCCTTTTAAATTTTCAAAACTCATTTAAATTATAAGTTTTAAATGTCAGTTGAAAAATCTAAAATAGAATTTAATTAATTTTTTGAAAATTCTTTATACTTCAAAAAAACGTTAAAACCTGAGCATTCAATTAAATTCAATATACTCAATATTTTTAATAAACGGCACTTTTGCCACGCCATTTTTACAAAAGAGGTGTTTTAAATACATTATTGTTAGTTACTTAAAACTTTATTGTTCTGCATTGATAACTTTTACATTTTTGAAGCCTCCCTCCATCTTTTGTTTTATATCGATAATAGGATAAAAGGAACATTTTAATTACTCGTCGTCGAGAAAGAAAAGATTTGACAAAGCTTGAATGCAATCATTTTTAGTCTTTTTATAACAGTAAAAGGTCAAAGTTATTGTACTGCATTAAAAAAAATACAGCAGATCTGAATTTAATTAAGAAACTTAATGCTTCGACTTAGGCAAACTTTTTTTAAAGTACTTTTTATAGCATTTACTACTTTATAGATTCTTTTCTTTGTGATTTATTGACATATTTATTCTATTATTATTTTCTCTTTTTTCTTCTTTTTATTTGTAATATATAATAGTAACAATTCTGTTGAATATGAACAAACATTTAATAAGACTGCAAGATTCTTCATTAAATTTATCATCGATCACATCATTTTAACCTCTGGCACTGGCAACAAATACTCAAATACTAATACAAGTATGCGAGGAGTTAAGGGTTCGATGCCGCATAAAAATCTAAACAAACTCATCTGTGATATACGAACCACGAGCATATTTCGTGATAGTTTTGTGCCGATGCGTATATTGTTCAACATTAGTTGTTTTCTGATTAAAGCCCTTATGAAAATTTAAGATATTTTTGCTGCTCATTTGAGGTTTTGCTTGGGATGTTAAGTTTGATTTAAGGTTTATTTGAAGTCGATTTCAAAAGTAACCATAAAAAATCAACTTATTAGAATTTTTAATCAAGGTATATGAGGTTGCTTTATTCTTACTGAAGGTTTTGAAGTTGATAGAAATCTACCATGGCTTAAGTTTTTTTCCAAGGTAGAGAGATTGTTTATGAGGTGTACGTGTCATTTTTCTACACTTCAAGAAAATAAGTACTTTGCGGTGTGAAAAACATTACCCTATTACAACTTAAATTATTGGTGAGCTATGTATTGGTGAGGTTGATTTTATGAGGTGTAAATGAAGTTAAAATTAATTTTTACTGATGAGGTTATTTTTGTGCAATACATAGCCTCATTTTGTTGTACAAAACATAGCCGTAAGTGTTTTTTTTTCACCCGTAAAACTCAAAACAACCTTAAAAACACCTTATTTTTTAAAAGGGGTCTTGCCTCTATCTTATACTCTTGAGCAAGAAAACGGTACGTCTCTTTAACACTAGTTGCTAATAATATATTGGGGGAACAATTGTAAGAAATTTTAATAAAAGTTGAATTATTCTTAAGGAGACCAGATTATGAGCCATGATTTAAGGGCAAATCAGCCGAGTATCCGTGAAAATATTTATGATTTGAAGGCAACCATATACGAGGCGTTTCTGAAATGAAAAGGTTCTTCACCGATAGCAGAAAAGTAAAAGTTTCTGCCCGTCCGTTGGTAACATGGACTGCAAATTTGTCTGCCTTTCCCCTGAAAGTTGTTTGTTATTTTTGTGGTGAGCCTAGTTTGAGCAAGCACATTTTCATAATGTCTGCGTTTATTCAGAATTCCGACAGGTGTAAAGTCCGTTCCATAATACGCTTTCTTCATGGAAAAGGATACGTTTTACTTTATTTTATAACCGTCGTTGAACAGCCGAATTGATTTTGGGTTTATGACTACTAATGTTCAACTCCATAACCTTGTAAATTTGGACCCAATTCAAAAGACAAGGGAAATCCTGTATCAAGTTTTGTGAGTAATTTGACTTTGTGGAGGACTTTTCGATAAAACTAACACCAACATCAGGTGCATAAAAAACATAATTTCATCAGCAGAGGCTTCGCGGCGTGCTTAGTAAAATTCATTTTTAAAGTGTCCTCTCTAACCACGTTAAAAGTGTTCCTTATAACCAGATTAAAAGTGTCCCTTCTAACCATGTTAAAATGTCATTTCCAGTCACGTTTCCTTTTATAATACAGACATTTTAGAAAGATAAAATTTCTTGTTAAACTACAACGTGTAAGACAATATTTCATCGATTACACCCAAAAAAAAAATATGTTTATTATGAAGCTATCAACTTTGATCTGTAAATCTGAAAAAGTAACCATACAAATACTTGTTGTTGTAATGTTACAAATCATCGATGCTTTTTTTTTAATACTTAATACAGCCCGAAATGCGTAGTTACGAAAATGGACGTAGTTACTGCTATGTAGATTAAGCTAACCATCGAAATATATATATATATATATATATATATATATAGCGCAGCTTTAGCGCTTGATATTTTCAACTATTACCTTACTTCCGTTTTCTTTTTGTTTNTATATATATATATATATATATATATATATATACATGTTTTACGTCAAATAACTCGAGACGTTACATGTTAACTCCTTGCAAATGTAAACTATTTATTAATGAATATAATTATTCTAATGCCAGTGGTGTTGGACACAGCCAGTGTTGTCCGTGATTATGTGGGTACTTTGTATGATTCCTACACTCGTCATCGCATTCATTTAATTTCTACACAGAAAAAAATATTGAATGAAATTACTGTAATGTATGGTAATGATATTTCAAGTAGAAAAACAATATAATTTTGGTTAGAAAAACCAAAATATACTCTAAACCATTCATTCAGATAATTTTTCCGTTCAAATGGTAATGATTTACTGGAAGTTGTATTCTCTATTTAAATTATAGTTCTTATTACCACACATTTAGTAAAAAATACAAAGATGATACGTAAATATAACCGAACATATGGATTTTATGCCATGCTCTAAGGCAGTGTTTCCCAACGTGGGGCCCACGCCCCACTGGGGGGCAATATGATTGTTAAGGGGGGCAATTCGAAAATGGACTCAACAGGAGTTTAACCCTTTTGCTCCGGGGCATTTGAATGCAATGCTAGATTTCGGTGCCAAAATTGAAAGAAAAAAGCAAATTCTTAAATAATTGCGGCCAATAAATATTATATGACTTAGCGATTTTTTAAGCAACAAACCTAAAACGAAGTATCTGTTAACAGTCGATGGTAAAGCATTTGTGAGTTATTTAGCCGATATCTTTGAAAAACTAAATATATTAAATAAGCAACTTCAAGAAACAAATGAAACTCTTGTTGATGCAAAAGCGAAGATATTTGGATTCATTACTCTTATTGAATTATGTCAGAAAAATATTAATAACAAAAACTTTGAACAGTTTCATAGGCTCCAAAAAATGTGAAGTAAATGATACCGCTTTACTTGTTATTGTCGATCATCTGAAAATTCTATCGCCTGATTTACAAGAAAGATTTTCTGATTTAAAACAAATTGATTTACCAATACGGATGATGCAGTCAATGTTAGTGGATTTGTCTGATATATCAAATATGCAGTATCAAGAAGAATTCGCAGAAATGCAAAATGATGAGTCAGTTAAAACTTTATTTAATATAAAAGGAGTGATGGCATGGCTTTGTGAGGAAACAGAAATCAAATACATAAATTCAACCAAATGTGCTAGAAAACTATTGTTACAGTTTCCAGCTTCATATTTAGCTGAATGTGGCTGCAAATGATTTACTGGTAAAAAAAAAAAAAAAGAAATCGTCTGGATGTAATACAACGGGGAGACTTGAGACTGAAGCTAAGCAAATTGGAACCTAACATAAAATCTCTGTGCAGCAAGCATCAAGTGCAAGGATCTCAATAAATTAAAATATTAAATTATTATAGAAAAATCTTTATTAAAATTATTTCGAATTTGAATTTTAGTTTTTCATTATATGTTTTGAAAATTTACTTCCTGAGTTTCGTAAACAATTTCCTAGTGATTTATTCCTAAAACCTATTATTAAGTATTAAAAATTGAATTGTTCGCTTAAGAACAATTAAATTTTTTAATAATAAAAATTACGTATACGTTACATAGGGGGGCATAAGAATTTTAGAAAGGCGTAGGTGGGGCATGACATAAAAAAGGTTGGGAAACACTGCTCTAAGGTATCCTAATAAAGTTACTAAATTTTATCATATTATAAAGACTTATTTTGTTGTCAACTTTACCAAGGTGTTTCGGTAAAAATTACCGACCTCTTCGGTGTTCCTATAGAACCAGAAATATGATAAATTTTATCATATTCTGGTAGTTTTGACCATACTTTTTTTTTCTCAATGTAAAATTAAGCGGAAAAATGTTTTGCGATTCCTATAAGATTTCTTTACGTCAGTATTCTATCAAGGATTTCCGACATTCAACTTTAGTAAGATCTCAACAGTTTGAATTTTTAGAAACTTATTTTTTAGAGTTATCAAACAAATTTAAAATCTAACAAAATAAAATATTTTCTTCAAATTAAAGCAAATGGACCCTTCTAGATGTGAACAATAAAGATTTTAATCGAAAGAATTTAAAATCAAATTTCAAACGTTTGAATGTGCGATTATTGATAAATGAATGGATATATTATTTGTAAATTAATTTGTTTCATAGTATCTCTATAAAGAAAACAAAATTTTTAAAAAATGCGAATAAAAGCTTCTGTAAATTACCCCATCTTGCATAAAATTACAAAAAATCTCAGTCATCTTACATTAATGAAAATAATGCTTTAAATAACAAAATGAAACCATATTTAAAGAATTTTATTTATACATACAACAATAACGAATCTCTCACTCTCTTCTCGATATGAAAAATCTGTACACTCGTTTTCTTCACACGCATCTTAAAAGTCAGTATTTCAATCATTACTTTATAATTATGACCAAAAATATTCCTTCTCAAAACCAGTAAAATCTTCCATCATTTCATTCTATGATTCATTTACAAATTATGATCATCATTCATCTTACGTATGAATCATCAACTTATATATTGTAAAAAGATGATTCATAAACAGAGTAGTAAGAAACTGTACACGATATCAATTTTTTGTTGTTGTTTAAAAACACATTCATCACAAAGAGGACAGTGCTAATTGTTGAAATTACAATTGACACATGGGATCACACAGGGAAGTTTCAACACATTTGAAAATAACCCACATTGTCACCAAACATTTAGCAGTTGAACATCTTTGAACAAGGTCTGACTACGAAGTCTGAAATGAGAACGTAGGAAATAAAAGTAGTTAGAGGTTTCTATAAGTTTAAATATTTCACATAAAATTAGAAATAATAAACACATTTCGCTTAACAATTTTACAATAGAAAGGTTGATAAAGTATTTATTGCTTTGAAATAAAAAAATAAATATTATTTTCAACTCGGTGGGCATTTTATTATTTACATTTAGTTGGATTCTCAACTTAAAGATCAATTATTATTAATTGATTTTTGAGAAAATGAGGTAATATGGTAGCATTTAATTTGAGTAAAGATTATGTTTTTTTTAAACTAATTACACGTCGACTACAACAAACAAGTGAGTCATGTAAGTTGAGTGGTAATAATAGTTCACTGCAATCATTTGCAATTCTGTTTGTGAGTGAAACCAATGTTCTAAACGGACAGAATATTGTAACGAAAAATATTTATTTTGGAGTTTTAATCAAACACAAAAAATCATTGATGTGCTTATTTGAAAATAAATACCTAATATCAAACTGAAAGAAACGGGTTGATTGTCTTTAACTTCCAGTCAAATTCGGAAAGAATAAAAAGTTAATTGAGAATAAGCGATATTTTGCAGATCTTTTAACAATCTTATTATCAATCTATTATCAAAAAACAAACTATTCAAACGTGAAACCCAAAGACCACATACGAATAATCTTAAATGTAATCGAAAAAATTAAGTTTTATTTTTTCTAAGTGAATCCTAAAACTCAAGATGCTTTCGTAATGATGGCATTTATTATGCTTCTTTTATATCCTTAGTAAAAAGAACAGAGTGAGTATATACATTAAGAGTTGAAAATTAACATTCAAACAAGGATAAGGACGAAATCGATATCGAAAGCTAACAAATCCTTGCTAGGGAAGGAGGAACTAAAAAAGTCAAAGCTTGTTAGGCTGTCTACAAAAACATAGAGAATGAGAAATATCATTTTTTGATAACTTCAAAAAAAATAGTATTTTTTTTAAATTTCTCTTTCACAAGGTTTCAACAGTCATATATAGACGTGATTAAGGAACACCCTATTTAAGCATTTTGAAATTTGTTAGGCTTTTTAAATTGCGAATTTTTAATATCGTGATTGTATTTTAAAATTCATTTTCAGAATCAGACTTAGTTTCAGTATTATCTTTATATTTTGCTCTACTGCAAACTACATTGAGAAATACGACTCACTCTGGAATAAGCGTGCATATGTAAATAACAGAAGCAAGTAACCAGAGTAATACAATGCAGTCGACAGAAGATGCAGCTTCTCCATTGTTTGTCAAAGTTTTTAAGTTGGATCCTGGGCCGAGATGGCAGGTAATCTAGACTTAAAGCTACATGAGTGTTTTGCAACAGTCAGCGGAAGAGAGATGGGATATAGCTTCTCCGAAGTAGCGATGGAAATCGAATATTCACGTACGACCATTTCAAGTGTGTACCGCAAATATCTAGAATCCGGTTTGTGACCGTATAATGATCGGGGAAGAGTTAAACTACTAATGACTGACTTCAATGCTGGAACATTAGCTCGAGAGAATTTCAACGGATCATCTTTGACTCATGCCTTAAAACCCCCTCACGGATAGATTGGATGACACGAAACTTTAAGAATGCCATCATTACCATTAGACTGCTTATAACTTGATGTGATTCGTTTATTCCCGTTTTGTATCGGGTGGATACAGTATAGACATATAGTGGCACGGAGAAAATTTCATGAATCTGTAGCTCCTATATGTTAACAGGAGACTGTTCAAGCTGGTTAGACTTTGATCAAACAGGTTTTCAATCTGGTTTGGTATAGCGGATATGGGATTATATAGTAAATGAGTATATAGAAGTATATATGGGTCACGTCTATATACCCATATATGGCGTACATGGGTATATGAGACTCCTGGTAGATACAGATACAATTCTAGCAGACATAACAGGTCTTGGTTAATTGCATCAGGACAAAGCGATAACACACACAAATCGAGATCTGCCACCAGCTCCAGTTTTACTTTTCTGATATTCGATACTCCCTTTGGTCAACTAAATCCCCAGACATGAACTTTATTGAGCATATTTTGGAAATCTTGTAATATAATGTCCAGCAGAGACATCCACTTTCATGAATTTCTATAAACTTGAAGATTGCCTTATAGAATTCAAGGTAAAAATTGCCTCCGCACATTTTCAACATTAGTCGAATTTGCGTAACTTCGGGATGCGACTATTAAGCCTGCTCGAGGGGTGTATCAGTTTTTGCTCTTCAGTGTAAGACCATAACCTACTTGTTGTCCAAAAACTTTTTGATATTTTTTTTATTTAAAATATTATCTCAAATAGAGAAAAATAGCATTTTTTTAGAAAACTGTTTTAAAATGGCGAAATTTCGAAAGCTCTTTGAATCAATGGTTTGAATTTCCAATATCAAACATACATTTTAAGGTTATTTAATAATTTCAATGTAATATTAGTTTGTAAATAGATTGTGGAGGAGTTGCGTATTTACAGATTTCTTGAAAATTAAGCATGGTCTTGTTCCGAAAAATTAAATCATTAGCAAGTATTTAAAATAGAATCCCAGTAAATAACTGCTTCTCAAAAATTTAAAAATTTTGATTAAATTCATTTTAAAATGCATAAGTTATAAACGAAATTCAAATAAATTTTTAACACATTGTATACAAATAAAAGCAAAGTGCTTCTGGACACGAGTTTTGTATTTACATTTAATTTTTCTCCTTAAGTAAATATATTCACGGAAATAAAATTTACAAGCATGCAAAACTGCGTGTTTCTCTCAAAGTATAAAATAAAAAATTGCTTTATTTTTCTTCCTCTAAACTCACAAATTTAATAAAAGTAAGCTTATAACCTGATTTCCAAAAAAGTAAACGACAGAATATGTTTTCAGACAGCAAACTAGTTAATAAATCTACCCAAAGGGTATCAATATAATAATTCTAAAATGTAATATGATTTTAAAGTTTTGCCTAAGTAGTTCTCACATTTGTTTTCATTATTTAATTTTTCTTCCTCGCTATGGATAAATATTATTTAATATGTAGTGAAATTATTTCAACGATGCAACAGTGGGCTTTAATTTTGAGAAGGAGATACTTTCGTTTATTTTGGAGTGTGCATTTAAAGTGTAACCTAAATTAAAGAACTGTTTTTATTTAACACTTGTATCGATTCCCAAACATTTGTGAAAAACCGGACCTTTCTGTAGATCCCAATTAAGAATGGCGTTGCTTGAGATCCCAAATGAATAAACTCAAATTTTTTAAATTGGTACTCACCATGTTTTCATTTAACGATGAGAATTCGGGGTTGAGGACCAGTATTGTGGCATTGTACTCGAGAATAAATACTAACTTCTTCTCCCAGTATTTGTTGCTAAAAAAAGAACGATTGAAATACATGGTTTCAGCAGATGTCGTAAGAAAATTAAAATCTATCATTATATAGACTATCAAATGCAATCGGAATGTATCAAGTGAGCACATGCTTAATAACCCACTACCTTAATCTGATAAAACGGGTAAATTCACAACAAAAGTTGATACTGGAAACTAATAGAAATGAATATTGGACAAAATAAAGAGGGAACCTTGAAGTCACGAAAATAACTAACTTTTATGCACGTTTTTATTTAAGTGCATTAAAATAGAGCACTTGCAACTAGGCGCATAGTGGTGTCCAATCCAGTGGCTTCGCATGGCGCGTTAACGTTATAGCTTAGACTTGAGTTTATTATCACGCTCAATCAATTTTCAGATTAGATTTAATTGGATATCTGCAAGCTTTGTCTAGCGTGTATGCAGAATTTGATTGACTGATACACGCGTGACGTCTCTTGCATGCATCCAACTGCTTGGTTTTTTTTGTATATAATATTATAATGAGAGTGATAGCGAGTATACAACGACTGTTTTTTTCATTATCTTTAGTAAATAAAGTAAATAAATAAATAAAGTAATTAAGAGATGATTTATCATGGTAATAAATATTGAAAGATAAACTTTTTGAAAGAAATATATTGAATGATAAAAAACAGGTTTTTCAACTTTTCACATACCCCCATAGGTCTTTTTTTCTTTTCGTTTCGTATTCGCCTGAAGTAACATGCACAGATTGCCGAGATGACAATTACTGAGACTGCAACAATTGCTCCAGTGGTTATGGCGGATTGATACCAGTTACCTACGTTTTCATCTTTTTTACAAAAATAGAAGGAAAAAAAATATTATTAAAAAAATTGCAGCTGTATTCTGAAATGCATAAAGATGATTGTTCATTGCTATACAAAAGTACAATTTCAATTATAAGTGAATTTTATTTTGAGAAATTAAATAATAGTCAGTACAATAAGGAATTTATCTTTTAAACTGATCAAAGCTTAAATCTATTACTATTATCCATTTGTGCCTTTTAAAACTGTCATTATACCTGTTAAAGTGAATCCCAACTAAAACAGTGATAAATTTTACTCATAAGAATTTAGTACATGATATCAATATTACACTCAGTTTTCATCAATATTGCATAGTTTGAAGATTTTAATATGCAAATGTGCAATATTGTTGATTTACCATTGCGTCTGAAAAGTATTGTATAATTACGAACTTTACGTTTAAGGCAGTATAGTCGCATTCGATGTTGCGCAATTAAATTCTACAATCAATTAAATTTAATTCCCAGACTAAATATTATCTGTATTAGTTGGGCAAAATATCACGATTTGATTTTGTTAAGAGAAAACCAAAATTTCTACAAAAAACAATTTTGGTTTCATGATGCAATTTGCCAAAAAAAAATCTTAGCCTACGCGAGAGTTAGTCCCTGAGCTTTTTTTATTATGTAATATATATTTTCAGATAGTAAGTCTTCTCAATACTTTTTTATGTGAAATAGATATATATAGATAGATGTATACAATCGATACATACAATAGATAGATACAATGTGTTTTATTTTTCGTTGAAAGCAATATAATTTAGTAAATTCAATAAGGAATTGGCATTTCCCCCCCTTTATGTTTCCTCAAACAACCTATCAATCAAGATAATGCTATAGGAGATATGGTTCGATACATTTCTATTTGTACTAATAATATTTTGCAGCACAACCTCAAGAAGGATTAAAGTAATACATTCTTTGAAATTCTGTTTTGTGAAAGTAAGAAATAGAGTTAAGTAAATACATAAACTATTTGTAACTCACAGTTTACCTAACAAAGATTGCTTTGTTATGCAAAATATTACAATTTAATAGAGTATATCTGTAGAATTCTAGAAATAATTTATGAATACTTCAGATTCATATTCATGAAGTAATTCATAAATTTCAAATAATTCAAAATGATGTATTGTTTAAGATTGCTACTATCAGGGTAAACTCTCTTTGCAGAATATTCAGGGACGAAATCTTTCGGTGATATGAAAGCGTATGTTTTAAGTATTTATATAAGCACATGTCTTTATGTATACAGTAATTCAATGAAAATAATAAATTAGTAACTGATTAAAATCGATATCAAGGAAAACTTTCTCTGAATATTTTAAGAAACAACTCGAACATCAGCATTATTCATTAAAACATCTTTATTATTCATTCCGAGCATCGCAAGGCTTTATTTTATTTTATTTTTATCTATTAAGCTTTATTTTATTTTATTCTTATCTATTAAGCTTTATTTTATTTTTTCGTATCAGTCGTAGGTTTATTACATTAGGTTATTTATTTATATTGAGTAATTTCGTTCAATCATGTCAATTTTGTGCCTTCTCATTTATTCGTCTTTTTTTAAGAGGCAGACATACAATAGGTTGTTTTGATTTAATAATTTTGAAGTATTTGCTTTACATTAAAAATGGCGCCTTCAAACAGCTTCCCTTGTTCTATTCAACTCTTTTTTTAATATAGTTGTCAATGCATATTTGAAAAAACTTAACTACGTTTTTTTTATTTGAAATACAGGACTTTAAATATATATTTTTTTTACTAATTTTTTGGCCTGTGAATTTTTCAATATGCTAAATCTTTGGCATTTTGAAATGTACTTCTATTGTTATTTATTTGCTTTTGTTCGCTAACGTCACACTAGAGTTTCCCTAGAGCAGGGATGGCGAACCAATGGCACGCGACACAATATTTTGGGCACGCCACCGATCACAAAGTTCACTATGAAGCATATTAACAATTAAATTAAAATTCACAAAAACAAACAAAAAAATAAACAATTAACAAAAAAAAATTTACAATTTAATGCCAAAAAAACAATAACTGCAAAAAACAAGCTAACAATAAATAACTAGCAAAAAAACATTAACAGTCCTGCTTAAACTAGCATCTTACAACCTAATATAAGTCATTTGTCTTCTATTCTGCAACAACAGAAGTCACACTAATGTTACTTCAGATTGAATTACACGTATAACTGAGACATTGCAAATTTTTTTTTTTTCTTTGTAAATAAAGAGTTTTGAGTTTATGGAATTCAGTATTATTATTTTCCCAATAATCAAGAAGTCAAAATTATTTGACGGCACGTCTATGACCTCATTAAACAATTTTTTGAAAAAATGGCACGTTGGTGCATAAAGGTTCGGCACCCCTGCCCTAGAGGGGTACTGGCGAGTTTTATGATTCCAATTTTCGGCATAGCATTCTCAGCATATTATATACTAAACTTTTCCACATCATAAATCTTCAGAATTTCAACATGTGCTTTACTTGTTTTTGATTTGTTTTGGTTTGCTAATGTCGCTTACAAGCTACGCTGAATGGTTATTGGTGATGATTATTCATCATTAGAGATGATAAGAAAACGAAGCTGGCGTAGGCGCTCACCTTTATATTTTCGAACACAGAGCAGATGATCACCATAATTACCAAATTTTCAGTATTAAATCACTGGTAATGTATAGTAAAGACTTTGCATATCATATTTCTGTCCAAAAAAGTTGTCATAAGGAGTTAAAGGTTCAAAATTTGCTACTTGTTATTGACTTACCTCCTGAAAACGAAGAAGCATTAGCGTTTGTCTTCTGAGTCTTACAAGCTAAAAAAATGACATAATTTTATTTAAGAAATTGATAGTTCTATAAGTGCAAGGAACTTTTTTATCAATTTGAAATAACACTTTCATCTAATAAAAAAAAACTTCTAATCAAAGAGAATTAAAGAAAATTAAAGTTCTGATTAAGTTCAAAATTAAATATCCAGAGAAAAATAAATTGAAAATAGATATTTAAAGATGAATTATATTTTTAAATTGGTTTTCTATTAGCAAAAGTTTGATTTATATTGATTAAAATTGAAAAAAAAAACATCAAAACTTTTTAATGGATACTTTTTTTTTACGATCCGTGCATTTATTTTAAAAATAAGAAAATTTTGATTTTCTTCTTCCATGCCATTTTGTAAGTTTTACTACTGCCATCTGTATATTTGCTTATTGCAAAACCCATGACTTTTGTCACCTCAGTCTTTATCATTAGATTTTGACAGTGAAAATGACAATGCTTAATGTATCCATTTTAAACCTTTATTGTGTGTGATATCTATTACTTCATGTATCTTCGTGATCACTTATCAATCATTAATCATGAGTTTGATCATTCATTGCTTCCTCAAAAATAAATGACAATTTTTCATGAAAATCATTGGTTAAAAAAACGTTTTATAGAAATACCTGATATTAAAAAGTGGAACGAATCCTAAATGATTTCTTGAACTTAATTTTTTTTAATAATATTTATTACTATATATATCTGATGATCACAGATTAATCAATATTAAACATTTTCTCATTTACAATTTTGGTTTAAAAAGAAAAAAAAAAGTTTCATAATAATATCTCATCTTAAAATTTCTATAATCCTTATTTCTATAAAACGTTACGCTTTTAAGCTATATAAATACTATATTAACACCCAGAAATCTTCAAAGTAGTTTAACTTTGCTAATATATTTATTCGCTGATTTCGCAATGGTGGCAATTATTACCATCTCTCAACTTATGTAAAAGTTACCCTCGTTATCACGCCGCCTTCGAGTAATTAGATGAATATTCCAACTTTTTAACTCCAGTCAAAAGATGACTTTTCCGGAAACTTAATGTTCGGTATAAAGTTTAATGAAGTATAAATGATGAATGAAGGGTAGTAGCGGTTTTGTGAATAAAAGTGCGGAAGAAAATTATACAAGGTTGTTATAATTTATCAAATATTTGCTTCGTTTAATTTTTGAGAAGTGCTTTGAAATTACTTTATTACAAAAAAAAATATTAATGAGTGTTTTTTAAATGCATTTTGCGTCATAAAATAAGAAAATCCATAATTTGAGTGGCTTAAAATTGGAACAAGTCAGAGAAGTAGAATGCATCCTGATGATTCGAAATCGAATTGCAAAGCAGGGTCAGAGATGCTTTTCTTAAACGCTAAATGACGTTGCGTGTTAGTTCCATATCTGCCGATTTATTTAAGATATTCTGACATATTCGAATTGAACCTGAATTATACCATACTATTCGAAATTTAATGCGTCGTAAGCATGATATCTGCATTGCAGTTTGAGGAAGAAATTTCTGAACCTTTTTTCACCTGTGAACATTTTATTTTATACATTAATTATTTAAATGAATATTAATTTACTTTTTTATGGTACTACTATGAACATTACCACTCCAGGAGAGCATTTCCAACCCTGCATTGTTGTATGATTTTGTGCCGCCATGATGCATCCTATCCCTCTAAGAAGTTTTTAAATGTATTACTCAAACAACTTGCCGAACTGTACCGAATACCATGCATACTATATAGAACATCAAGTATACCATACTATTAAATATGTAATCCCACGAAACTGAAGTTATAAGACAGTACTTGATTAAAAACTTGTTCAAGCGCTTCAAAAATAAGAGCCCATTTCCAAGACTTGCCAGACAAGAAGGAAAAATTTTTTTTATTTGAAATATGAAACGTAAAGTTGCGAAAAAATAAGGGAAAAATAAAGATACTGAACAAAGCTACCAAAATCACAGTCCGATCTTAAAAAGAGTCTCCTATTTGTGAAGCATTTGAAATGTTTTGACTGCTATAAGAAACGAAGAAATAGTTCAGAATTTAAAATAAAAATATTTTTCAACCCAAATATCGCAGGAGGATATCAGCTTTTTGAATATTGAAAAAAATAGATCACAAGCACTTCATTTTTTCAAAAGTCAGACTTTTCTGCAAATGCTAACTATGCACCATTCTCATAAGCATAGAAAGTTCATTACATAACAATAACTAAGAACTATTTTAATAACAACAGTTATAAAATTAGCAACTAATTTGATAAAAAGTGATAAAAGAGCATTTGAAATACAACTTTAGTATTAAATAATTGCATTCGTATTATTAATATTTCCCCCTTTTAAATAAAAATTCCTAACATTCTCTTGCATTATTGAGTTCTAGAATTCATTCAAGGCACGTATACTTTTAGGTGTTTCTGAAATTAATTTGGGAACAATAAACTAATTTATAAAAATATCTTAATTCAAAACAGGGAGTAAAAATAGCTTAATTCTACGTAAGGTATGAAGCAAAGATAATTTCAAGTCTATTTCTTAGAAATCGAAACAGCGCTTCATACAATTTCATTTAATGGTGTCTATCACATTATAAATAAATAAAAAAGAATTGATAATTTGCGAACCAGATAATATGGAAATAATTACTTAACTGCATTACAATGCACGTTTCCCCATTTTACTGATTTATTGCGTCTCTGAACACTTGCTCATAGATTAAAAAAAATATCAATACCAAAGATCACTAATTAGGAAATAACCACCGTTACAAAGACAATTGATACGAACATAGTAGTTCGAAACCATAATTATTCTGTTAATACATTTAAATTATATAGCAGACTGCTCCTCTGGTGAACAAGTGACACCGTTTAAGCAAAAGATCAATTGTCAGGATGGTTATTGATTGCTCATAACCATATGATAGATGCGGCCAATTACTATTCTGTAACTGTTCTCTTTAAATTAAATCGCTTATAACCCTTGAGACACAGCTTAATTATCGGTAATCGTTTCAAAGAATAGGTTCGCTAATTGGAGACAATTAAAAGCGCCAATTTTAGATTCTAGATCTTGTTTGGTACGGCTGGTTTGATATCTGGAAATATTTCGTTCATTTTAACTTTGGGTAATTTTGTCCTATGTTAGGGCTTCATTTAAATCTACATTTTAACCCCCAAAATAAATATGATAATTAAAAAGTATAATTTTAAATTCTAAGAAGTTCATCCAAAGTTTTGAACATATGAACAAGAAAATTTACACGAAAGCTATCAGGCGTAATACTGGGCAGTTATACTTTATAAGGTACTGCTAAGCCATGTAATCAGAGAGATTATTCGATGAATGTCAGTGTAAGTTTATACGAATAATTGTATATAGTCTCTACATTAACAATAATATAGTATATAGTCTCTACATTATGGTAAATAATAGTAATATAGTATCTACATTACTATTCAATCATTTCAGTTACAAAGGGAAATCAGTATAGACATCTCGTACAATTTAACGTCACGATCTATTTTTCAACACATTTTATTTGATTTTAAAGCCGCTCGTAATGCTGACTTAGCCTCTAAGTTCCTTAAGTAAAGTGTTAATTCAGTTGCTCTTCAAGCACTTTTTTTCTATTCTCCTTAACAGCAAATATTTAAGTAAAATAATTATTTTTCTGCTGAAAAAGTATTTGCTCTTCGATTACTTATAAGTTGTTTACTCATTATTTTATTTTCTTATCTTGCTTAAAACTGTTTATGGAAAGTCATATAATTGGATACTTGCAACTCAAGAAGAAAACGGTCGCTGATACACAGGCACGTGACCAATGTCGCCAGCGCCAGGTAATCGTGATAAAGTCGATGCCGTGTTAAAGTCGAATTAAGTTTCTGCGTATAAGTTAGAATACTAGAATGTTCTCCACATAATTTAGAATTAACGTGAAGTTAATTAAATACAACGTCGCATCGCACATCAAATTTGTTAAAATATAATTCTTTCTCGTCTGCGTCTTTTACTTAACTTTGCTTTAGTAATTGTTTATTTATTTTTCGTAACTGAGATATATTTTTGCTTTGCGTGCTTGAAAACTTCGATGAAAAATTAGTTTGTTTATGTTCTGCATGGCTCCATGCCTGTCCTTGTGCTAAATGAGAAATATATAATGAAAGAATTTAAATCTTTCTGGAAGAATCTTCGCGCAAGAATATAAAATGTGTCCCGTAAGCGAATTGATACTCGACTGGCTTGACTTATTCAAAATAGAATGGAAAGAACAGTCACTAACGTAAACAAATGACACGTTTAAATAACCAGTCAGGAAGAAGATACCCACACTACGTTACTAGCAGGTATCTCATTGCTTTAAAAAGTTTGGTTTTTACATTCGTTTAAAAAGTAGTGAAGTATCACAGAATTTGGCAAAGAAATACTATATGTATTTTTTCCATGAATTCATTCGTCCGATGAAGATATTTACAATTTTTTTCCCTCTGAGGACCACTTATATAAAAACTGAATGATTACGGTTGATTAAAGCGTGTTGATAATATGAGAAATTTAAAACTGTTTCTTAATATTTATTGTTTTTATATATTTTCTTCGACATGTTTCTGCTCTAAATTTTTCAACTGAAAACATTAAATGTATCTTTATTTTCAAAAAAGGACACACGCTCTTAATTATAACTTTATTTTTTATGAAAAAAGTATGGAATGATATGTTCGAACTTCAAGAAAAAGAGGAGCAATATTTTGATAACTATTACTTATTATTGTGATCGTTTTTATATATTAGTAATTCTTCATATAGCTGAAAAATAATCGAAAAAAAGGCAATGTAAAGAGGAAGTAAAGTAGGATATCGGCTCACAAATAATATAATGAATTGACAGATCAATAAATAAACGTATACATGAGTCAGGAAAGCAGAGAATCAATGCCCCATGTAGCATGATACGTAAATTAAACGTAAATTTTTGGGAAATTGGTAAAGTCAATTTGCTTCAAGCGAATTTTTTTTATTTTTTGGATAACCACTTTTTGCTAGAATTTGACGTTCCAATTGCGTAAATTTTTTTCTCACTATTGACGCAAATAATATATATGTAATACATATGTAAAAATAACGTACTCATTCTTACATGATGCAAATAGGTTGGTAAAATATCAGAAAAATAAAAGAATTTATTTAAGTAAATTTTCCGTTTTCTAGACATCTATTTTTTGCTATAATTCCATGTTTCAGTTTCATGTAAATTTTACAAATGATTAGTAAATTTTAAAGGTAAAATTTACGTAATTTTGACGTAAAATTTATTTGATGGTTCTCTGCTTCATGCGTACGAGCTTACAGCGAATATGTTTGTAAATAAGTAAATAAAAAAAAGCAATTCCATTAACTTTGTTGTTATTGATTACGATTTTAGTTATTTTTACACATTTAAGAAGTATTAAAATATTTTTTTGGCTTTCTCTAAAATCTATAACTTTTTTTAATTTTATAATTTTCCGATACGTGTAACAACGGATTCTTATGAGGCTTTCAAAAACTTACCGGGAGCTATGACAGTGAAAAAACATGATGATTGCTGAGATCCTATACTATTATTTGCCCAACAGAAAAGTGTCCCGTATTCAGAGGATGACGTTGGTCGATAAGTAGCATTGCTTACAACTCCTTCGCTTACATGTTGGAGATTGTAGTGTTTACTGACTGTGTTACTAAATTCCCATTTGAAAGTAACATCTGTAGGCATGGCTTCCACTTCACAACGCACAATAACACTCTCATTTAATGCAACCACATAAGTAATTTGTTGATTTTCTTTACATATAGGAGCGTCTGAAATGAAACGAGTAAACAATATAATAATTTTCGTAAAAAAATAAAATAATTTTTTTTCATGATTGATTTGGCACCGTTTTAAAGGTGAGGTACTTCATGAGAACTGAAAATAAATTAAATAAAGAAATTGCCTTCATACATCGCTAATGACTCTCCCCGGTTAAGGACAGACTGTTCATAAAGGATTTAAAAGGGAACTTTAATTTATCTCAATTATTTTTGTTTTGTGTTAATTTTCATATTTTCAATAACTATAGCCAAATGCTTCATTTAAATCTACCCATAAATAGCCGCTATATCATAATTTAATGATTACTTGACTTACTTGGTTGGAATTTCAGTAGCTTCTTTTACGAATGAGTTAAGTTATTTTATGCAAGTGTTGTATTGATAAAATAACACTTTATTCTTTCTTTTTCAGAATTTTTTCAACATTTCGTTTCCTTAAAACCAATCGCCACACTGAGAAAAAAAAGTATGATATTATCAGAATTACTAAAACATGTAAAATTTACCGTGTTTCTGGCTATATGGGAATGCTATAAATCACGGTAATTTTCACAGAAGCGCTTTGGCAATAATTTTACTTATATTAACAGTAATTAATAGTTTCTTAATATGTTAGATCGCTTGATAAATATGAGAATGTGACTGCGATACGTAAGAGCATGGCAAAAAAATCATTTATTCAATTGGATTTACTTTTAAGTTTTGCATATGTGAGTTCTAATACAAATTTTAATTTTGAAAACAAGAATTTCTGATAAACCGTTTTCATATTAACGGAAAAATTACAAAATAATGATTCAAGTACTGTATATTTTTGTTTTATCCAGAAATAGGCCCTTTTTTACAAGAAATGTCATTACCACACAGTACAATATTTTTTACGTGTACTATTAATATATTATGAAGAACTTGTAAAATATTAAATAAAAAATATTTTAGACACTACATATTTATTTTCGAATGTTTTTTGACAAATTCGTAATTAAAATCTGATTACAAAAGTAGCTTACAATTTTTAAAAAAATAATCTGCTTAAAAAGCTAGATGAAAAAAAAAACATTTAAGCATAGCGAATTTATTGTTAAATATATTTTTTATCGGTGGAAAAATTTAATGTCAAAACAGAAGTTGAAATTTGAATTCCATCTCAGGACACATGTAACGTAGTAACGCAGTCCGCAAAAAAAATAAGATATCACCCTGAATAACTTTCGTTCTAATGATCGGATTTTCACTAACTAAGTGTCAATCTTAATGGTTCCGGGAGGTAACCTCAAATATGCTAATTAATTAGTGCTAACTATTAATTAAGTTACGAAATCAGACACAAAAACGGACTTTCTCCGAATAAACATATAATTTTTTTTTTGCATATTTGGATTCCTTATCTTCGAAATATAGGGGGTAGCCGCAATCTGGGAAATGTGGTCCCCATAGTTTGGTCAGGAGAGCGATTCAAAGTTCGTACCCCTTAATGTTAATTTAGCTTTTTGCGTTTTCAGTCATATTTTCAAAACTATTGAAGCAATTCAAAAAAAATTGCCCCCACTCATAAAACTCATTCACCCAAAGATAATTTCATGAAAAAATAATTTTTAATAATTATTTATTATTTTTTATTATTTAATTAAAGTGAGGATGAAAAAATTTTGAATTATTAGGTAGGGATTTTTTATACCATTTTAATCTACATATTTTTCAATTGAAGAATCTAAAGTTTCTATTGCTTTTATTTATTAGAAGATGAGAAAAATTGAAATTAATTATTTAAAAAATAATAATTTGGCGACAATGAAGAAATGACTTAATGGGGCGATTAATATTAAAATGTGATAAACTTGCGAGGAACTTGACTTCGCGCGCTTAGCATAAAATTTCATTCATATTTTTTTCGCTAATAATCGTTTGCTAATCTTTTTATTTTTATTTTTTTTTAAACTATAAAATACGATATTTCTTCTTTAGTCGTCTAAAATTATATTTGCAATTTAGTAAAGAAATTTGAATAAAACATTTTAATCAACGAGTGTCGAGTTTTATAAAAGTATGCTTGTGATTGAATATGATTATACACCAGATTTTGCTTATTTAATGTGATTATTTTTTATTTTCTAGTTTTTCTTTCTCAATACCTGATACAATTTCTATAATATACATACGTATGAATAGATTTGGAATAAAATATTTATCAATTTCTTAAATAATATTTTTTATAAATATTAATAAAAATACGTAGTCAACATTTTTAAGCATCTCTCGCATCATTGCAAATTTCTCAACATCTTATATATCGTCTTAATCTTAAAAGTAATTTTTTAATCACCTGTCTGTGAATGACCGAATGTTACCTGTCTGTAATCATCTGTCTGTGAATGTTGCTGTGAATGACCGAAATCTGGAGAATGTCGACTTTCACCGGAGAATGTCAACAATCACATAGTCGCTTTGGTGTTTGTCTGAAATATTTTTTACAACCAATTTGATATTAATTTATTCGCTTATATAATTACATTTATTCAATATTTTAGTACTTACTGACGATAGATTAGAAGAAACATCATTGTAGGGTATACCGGGCAAATGCATACCAGGGAGAGGCACTTGACCTTAAAAAAACATCAGTGTAGGATATACCGAGTAAATGTATACCAAGGGATGGCACTTGACCTTAAAAAAACATCAGTGTAGGATATACCGGGCAAATGTATACCGGACTGTGGCACTTAACTAGACTTAGTATATATTTCGGACATTTACCAAAGGTCTAGTCATACTAGTTCTAGTTAATTGCCACTGCCCGGTATACATTTGCCTGGTATACCAGACACTGATGTTTTTTTAAGGTCAAGTGTCATTCTCTGGTATGCATTTGCCCGGTATATCCTACATTGATGCTTTTTTAAGGCCAAGTGCCACTGCCCGGTATACATTTGCCCGGTATATTCTACACCGATAATTTTTTAAGGTTCAGTGCAATTGCCCGATATATATTAGCCTGATGCTCCAAACACTGATGTTTCTTCTAATCTATAGTCAGTAAGCATTAAAATATCGAATAAATGTAATTATATCCACGAATAAATTAATATCAAATCGGATGTAATAAATATTTCGGACATTCACCAAAGCGACTATGTGATTGTCAACATTCACCGGTGAAAGTCAACAACAACCGATTTCGATCATTCACAGTAACATGCACATCATTAATATGACATAATGACCTCATCAGCATGTTTTTTTTTCCATATTTTGCCTAAATAACATTTGTCATTCTATAGAATGCCTAGGGAAAGTATGTATTACCTCTCATATTTCATACTTTGCCTAAAAACATCCAGCATTGTATAGATTGCAGAGACATTCTAATCAATACCGGTGTTTCATACTTTGCCGGTAACATATATGAGAAAACAAAAATAATCATAGTAGCAGTATTTGGTGGTAAATGTAGCTGTAATCGTATTTGAAGAATATGCTGTGCGACATTTTATGGTGAATTTGCGAACGTATAAGTTTCAGAATGTATCGAAACATGAGGATGCTATTTGCTAATCATCTTTATCCAAAGGAAACGATGTAACCTAAATATCTAGTAGAATGAAGCGATTTTTTAAGCAATGAATCCTACAATTTGCAACATATTATTTCAATATCTTATTCTTAAACATAACATATTTCAATCTTTTTAAAATGCCACTAAACATTCAGCAATTCCTTGAGTTATAGAAAAAAGAAATATCGTAAATTATAGAAAACCTTGTGAATGTGCATTAGAATTATTATACAATCTACATTTTATTTTTCAAGCACTTTTTTTTTCTTCAAACTTTCTTGCCTAGAAGACTCGATTAAAGCTGTAAAAATGATTATCCCTAAAATTTTGTATATAGCTATAATAAGTTATGTTAATTTGATTTTAGTATGAAATCCTCGAATTTGTATAACAAAAACAACATAATCTAAATAATATCAGATAAAAAGTTCATGTATTTAAATTCTAAAAACTTAGAAAATCATAAATAATTTATAAATCGATTCAAATTTTCCTTTCAAAGGAGATTAAAATAAAAATAAAAATTTGCTTTTTGGACAGAAATCAGCTTAAAAACTGTCTATATCCTAGAAACTTTGAGATATTTTCTATTAACTTTGAGATATTTCTATTAAACCTCTCCGAGCAATCACAGAGCAATATTTAAATTTTTTTTTTACAGTCAGAAATTGGAATTATTTAGGGGAATTATCTAGGGAAATTAAGTCTTCTTTTGGATTTGTCAATGGGTTACTTTAAAATATTAATTTGCGTTGGCGACTTTTTCTGGCGGTTTTCTGAACTATTGCCAAATATATAAACCTTTATTGTGACCCAATTTAAGACCCAATTTTTTCAAAAGTTTGTCCACCCCCCCCTAATTCAAGTGTCTGGATTCCAAATTTGTAAAAAAAAAATACATGTTTATTCAGAGAAAGTACGTTTTTGTGTCTTGTTTCGTAACTTAATTAATAATTAGCACTAATTAATTAGCATATTTGAGGTGACCCCCCGGAACCATTAAGATTGACACTTAGTTCGTGAAAATCCAATCATTAGAACGAAAGTTATTCAGGGTGATATCTTTTTTTTTTTGCGGACTGTACAGTGCGCGAAATAAACAAAATGTCTTGTCTTAAAAATTTGATTTTTTTTTCCTGAATTATTCGACCATTTTCGCTCAGATTTTGTGTTTTACCATGTAAAATTGCATTCTTTAAAATGATGCAAAAATTTTATGTCTTACAATTAAAAATATCATTATATGAAATAATTAAAAAATAATTAATACTATTTACAAAAAAATATTTTATGCATGGAACTTTAGTTGGAAAAGCGAAATTTATAATTGTGTGAAAAAATCTTTCAATTCGCTTAAAAAGTTCTAAGGATATGGTATAATATGCCAAAACTAAAATTAACATTAAGGGGTTCAAACTTTAGACCGCTCTTCTGATAAAACTATGGGAACCCTATTTCCTAGATCATGCCTACCTTTTATATTTCGAGGATCAGAAATCCAAATTCGTCAAAAAATGGGTCTATTTGATCAAAGAAAGTACACTTCTGCACCTAATTTCGTAACTTAAAATATCGTCTGCACTATTTAATTAACGTATTTGAAATCACTCATTAAGGTTCAGTCCTAGATCGTGACGACCCGATCATTCGATCAAAAGTTATTCAGATTAATTCGTTTTTTTTTTCGTACTGCATATTCATACGGTGAATGAATTTAATGGGTTTGAAACTTAGAAGCAAGCTTTGTAGCCCAGTTTTTAAATATGCCTAAATTAAGGGCACTTACTCTTAAAGTAAACAATACGTGCGTTCTAAATATTTAAAAATTGTTGAAAAGAAGTGTTTATATATATATATTTTTTAAATGTAAATAAAATCAACACTTACGACTGATATTTAACATGAGTTCTTGACTGAATCCTTTCCCTTCGTCATTTAGAGCGTAGCAACGATATCTTCCATGATTACGCCTCGTGAGCTTCTTGAAAACGAGAGTGTTTCCACTAACGATGTCTGTTTGAGACTTGTTGTGGGAGAGGGGGGTGTCGTTAAAAATCCACCCGACTTTCAAGACAGGTGGATTGGCGTTAATATCACAAACTAATCGAACAAAGTCATCCTCTTTAGGTAGTCTATCTGCTTCTTCCTTAATAAGTCTCAAAGACACTTGAGGTATATCTATAAAAAAAAAACAAGAGGAAGCACTGTTTAGAAGTGTTTTAAGAACAAGATAAGTTCTGTATTTGAAACACAGAAATTGATCATAAAATTAGATAACTGAAAACCTCAGGAATAAAAAAAGGTAACCCACATTTTTGTTTTTGTTTATAAAGATAAGCGGATTTACTTGATATAGATCATCTCTTTTAAGACTCTAGTACTAATTAAGCAGAATGAATGTCATTGTTAGATACAATCATTTATTGCGGATAAAAACAAAATGTAGATTATATCTTTATTAAATTACTCGAATTACAATTTCAATGCCTTAAGTAAAAGATATTTTTACAGATTACATTGAGGATTTTAAAACAGAAACATTTTCCCACATTTCTTGCGAAATACTAATCACCTTAAGGCGTGTGTAATGATAAAAAATAAGCCAAGTTTAAACTCCATACATCCTTATGGTTCAGAAAATAAGACAATGCATGTAGGTGGTCATTATGGAAAATGTCTTGAATTATTTAGCTTAAACAAAAGGTAATTTAGTTTTCACGAGTCACATACTAATTGTTTTTATTGCAAATTAAATCAAGTTTTAAATTAATCGTGAAAAACCCATTATTACAGAATTAAAAACTACAGTTTTAATTTTATTGCACTGTCGGAAAGCGTATGGATAATACTGCTATTGTCTAACGAAGGATGTAAAAACAAACGAATTTTCCTCTATTGGATTCCTTCACATATGAAATCATTTTTGTCAATGGTAGCATTATATCATCTCTACAAATGAGGCTATTGACATTACTTCAAACAATTCTACATCCAAATCATCAACCAAAATTTACTCAAAAAATAAGATCAAATGATTATTTTAGAAAATCTCCTATCAATGCTCCACAATAAAAAGTAACAGAACTGTCCAGGTCAACATCATCAGAATCATATGGGTCGTATAGATACTTTGATGCATATCAATGGATAGAAAACTTTTCAAATTTGCATTCATGATTCTTCAGCATAAAATAACCTCTCTTGACCTGCTACAGCATGAAGATTTGATTGATACGCTTTTTCTCGCTTGCGATGGAAGTTCGATTTAAGTTCACAATCTGTTGGACTTGATCTGGGATTCAGTAGAGCTTCAAGCAATACGCCGTAACATGGAGTAAAAATAAACTTACAAATAACAAGTGTAATTTAATCAACGCCTACCTACATGTGATATTGAGCATTCTGACATCTTCCATGTGACTGTTGAAGAGTTTGGGATTTTCAGCTCTGCATGTAAGGGGTGATTTATGATACTGAAATTTAGGCAGGAGGCGTAGGACAGAGGAAGTGACATTGTCATGGACGGTTTCAATGTGATCTGACAAGTGAGTGCCATTGAGCCACCACGTGATCTTGGCAGAAGGTCGTGAGCCTACAGTTTCGCAGGTCATTTCGACTCTCCTTCCAGTTGATAGGGCAGATACTTTGCTTGTGATTCTCACTCTCAAAGGATATACTGAAAGTAAACTATAGTTCATTAGCTAAACAATTTATCTAAAAAAAGGACAATTTTAATAAATTAACAGTGAGAGTGGATAAAATCAGACGTTTCTATGTACCTTGTAAAGTAACTTTTGATTGAATGATCAGATTTTTACGTACTGGGACTCAATCTTACCCTTTCTACAGCCTAACCTTAAATGCGATAACTAACCAGTGCAGATTATATTTTAAAGTACGAAATTACACATGAAAACGTACTTTCTCTGATTAAACATACCTTTTTTACAAAGGATTCAGAATTTTCACGTTCAAAATAGAGGAGAATAGCCTCAATCTGGAAAACATGGCCCCCTTAGTTTGGTTACAATGTAGGATTTTAATTTACTTCGTTAAGACGTATAAGAGAAGCTAGAAATCAAAATATAACTTTAACTGATGCTGTTTTGCAAGTTCAAAGATTTTTCTCCACAAGCAATTGGTTTCAGTAATTTTGGGTGTTCTATTTAGCAGATAACAAGGTTTAAAGAGCACCTGTCTGCAAATGAATATCTTGAGACCAGTCTGCAGTTAATAAGAAAAGTGTAGATTTGTTTTCAACTTTTTATTTATTACATTTATTTTTGTACGTATATTATTTAAAGTCTAGAAGATCTTTTTTATTATTTTTCTCACTTTCCTATTTTTATTTTTAATAGCTAAAAGGCTTTAGATGCTTTATCAACCTAATACGAATTTCAAATGATATGAAAAGAGTTTCGTTAAGATTTTGTCACCCTTTGTCTTTAAAAAAATCGACTGTTTTAACCAAATTTCTTTAGGTTTTTAGATCTTAATTCTTTTTAGGAAATTAGACAACAATTTCCACCTGTCTTACTACCTGTTTCTCTTACAGCATATAAACTGAAGCAATTCGATATTAAATAGTTTCTTTGAACCAATTTCCATTCCTTTGCTAAGAGGCATTTTATTATTTTTAGAGTGTGTTTAATTGATTTGTCTAATTTTAATTTTGTCTTATTAGAATGAGCACTTATACGAAATATCCTTTTGGATATTGATATTAAGAGAAACAAAAGTTTCGTGTCTCGGTAAGGTAGTTTTGCCCCCGCTCTATCAGTCATATTTTTATTACTGTCCTTCATTTTTTTTGTTCTAATTACTTTAAAATTAAATAAATATTACTCCGCGTATATCTTTTTAACTAATTTGTTTGTCCCGCTGTGTAACTGATCGTTAAGACACGGTCCCCAGCACATCACCGAACTCAAGCCTCACTGGCTGCGGTCAGTGTGCGGGTGAGTGACTACTTGGATTAGTCTGCGTAGGGACCGAGGGTGTGCGGCATTGGTCCTCGTTAAACTGTGTTACCGTAATGTGATCGACTCCGCGTGCTTGTCGTCGGGCAACCGAAGCAGGGGTGCCATCCTCTCTGCAGAGGATCAAAATTGTGATGGCGTGTCTTCGAATCATTCTCAGGGATGCTTCCCAGACCGTCGCCAATAGCTCATTGTACAGCTCTAGTGTGATGTAAATTAACTAAGACAAATACCATTATCACATAAAAATATTTAACACTAGAAAAGTCCATGTAATTTTTTTACGCAAATTTGATTAATTTGTTTTACGCACATTGCTTTTAATGTTTGTTTTTTTTCTGTTTTTTTCAAAAGAAAAAACATGTTTATTTCATTGTATTAAAAGTAATAAAGCATAAAATGTGAATTTAATTTTTAAAATTACGAAGTTTTAATAACAGTAAAAATTCATTATTGGAAAATAATAAAAAAAACAGCCCTTTTGACAAACAATTTTAAGTTTTCTAAATTCGAGCACCGAAAATCGTATGAATACTATAAGAGTATTTGTAAATAATTTAATTGTGTGTTAAGTTTATCTTCAATTACGAATCAATTTTCAATCTTACCTTTCAAAATAAACTAATCAAGAAATAAAATAAAATTTCTTTAATTGAAAAAGATAATCTGGATGTGAAAACAAAATCTTAAAATAATAAGTTTTAATTTAGTTAAAATTCTTAAAACTCCTGAAATCTTGAATTGTGTGTTATGTTTATCTTCAATTACGAATCAATTTTCAAGCTTACCTTTCAAAATAAACTAATCAAGAAATAAAATAAAACTTCTTTAATTAAGAAAGATAATCTGGATGTGAAAACAAAATCTTAAAATGATAAGTTTTAATTTAGTTAAAATTCTTGAATGTGAAGAAGTCAAATCGGTTCGAATAGTTTTTACAAAAGAAAAGTGTTGAACTAAATTCGTAAGTTAAAAAAAAAGTTTTTTTCATTCATTTACTATAAAAAGTCTTTTTACAAAGAATATAGCATTAGTGAAAAGTTAGTTACAAATTTAGTACTAAATTAACCTTTTGATATTCCTATCTTTAACTGAATAGTAATTATTTCATTAAAAACATTTACAATCTCTCAATTTAGTTTTTATCTGTGCCAGTTTTGATTTTGGCTATGTTTTGAGAACTCTATTCTATTGTAACTAAAACCAATTTCTTTTTTTTAATTGTAGAATGACAAATGGCTTGAATATAAAATGCCAGTTGAGTTTTTATTGAGATATTTTAAAAAGAAATAGTAACCAAATTTAAATACAAAAAATACATGATTTTATAGCGATGTTTATCAAAAAGTATTTATTTTGTTGAAAATACTTAAAGGAAAATAAATTTAAAAACCATTGTGCAATTTTTAACAAATTGTTTAGTTTATAATATATTCCTATATTCCTGAAAAATTACAAAAAAAAAAATTTATCGAATTACGTTAAGGCATTATATCCGTGAAAAAGGTACTTCCAGGCATTTTGAATAAATTAATACAAAAAAACGATGAAATCTAAAAAAGAAATATTAAACATTTTAAAAAGCTAAAGGAAAAAAACGATGAGATCGATTTCTTCTGTTAACATAAATTAACATTTATTAAGTAAAAACATCAAGAATGTTTTTTAGAACAAAATTAAAAACCTTTCAAAACAAATGTTTAAGATTTATTTTTAAAATTTTCTGGCCTTACAAAGTATCAAATCAAAATCTATTAAAGANGATGAGATCGATTTCTTCTGTTAACATAAATTAACATTTATTAAGTAAAAACATCACATATACAGAAATAATATTAAAAACCTGTTTTAAAAATGGTTTTAAAGTTAATTATTATCAAATTTCATTTAAAATAAACTTATAACTAACTATATGCGCTAAGGGAAACAAAAATATTGTTAAAACTTCAAAAATTTGGTAAAAATTACAGTGTTTCTGGGTCAATGAGAACACCAAAAACCACGGTAATTTTTTCCTTAGCCCTTTTTTTAATGATTTTGGTACAATTAGCAATGAATAATGGTTCTACAATGTGTAATAAAATTTGGTAAATCTGGAAACATTTAGTGACTTTATTATGAGCATGGCATGAAAACCGTTTATTCGGTTAAATTTACTTTTCAGTCTTATATTTTGTTACTAAATGTGTGGTAATGAAAACTATAATTTTGAAAAACAGAATTTACAGGAAGCCGTTACTCTATGAACGGAAAAAATTACCAAACGAATGGCCTAAGCATCGCTGGAACAGTTTAAGTACCGTACTAGAATTATGCTGTTTTTTTATGTAAGAAATGTCATTAGAATACAGTACGGTAATTTGACTATATTTTTTGTGACGAAAATATATAAATTAATAATACTTCATATAAAGCATGAAATGTATTTGTTCAATACATTTAATAAAATGTACGGGCGAGTACTCACAGTATAAATCTAATACTATTGTTCTGACTACTGGAGCGGACAATTTGTTATTTTGAGCCTTGCAATGAAAAGTAGCAAACAGATCTGTTCTACTAAGATTCAACAATCGCATTTCATTTATCACATTTCCCGAAGATCCTTTCTTAAAGGTGTTGTCCCACAATCTATTGTCCTTCCACCATGTCACATTGGGTGTCGGGTAACCTAGAAGAAAAAAAATTACTTGCATCCATCAAATTTTCCACGTGGCTTTTCCAGTATAGTATTTGTTACCGCGAAAGTACTAATATGCTCATTACCTAGATAATATGCAGATAAATTAAGGCAATCTTTTTAAAATGCAAAATCAAGTATTTTCTACAATTTGCCTAAAATAATGCTAGCATAAACAGTGTCTGCATCGTTAGCGTTTAAAAATCTGTTACTGTTATACTACCAAGTGATTTGTTGATTCTATTTATTGTCTTTAGATATATATAAATAATATTTTGTTAAATTCCCTAATTGTAGTACTATTTTAAACAGTTTAACTGTTTGTATTATAATTTTTAAAGTGATGGATGATTGATTTCTATCATCTAATGTGTTCATTTTTTGATTGTAGTAACTCAATTTATCAGGTAAATAACCTTATGTTAATTTAAACATGCAAAAACGTTTATGTCGTTTTAGCAAAGATCTTATTCTCACTTTAACGAGTGCTTTGTTGGTAATGTGCAAATTATCTACTCTGTGAAAAAAATATGTTAAGTTTACAGAAAAAAAAATAAACTATCAGCTGGAATGCCAGTATAAAACTGATAATGCTAAAAAAATTCTATTATTTAAAAACGGGTGCCATTTTTTTTTAGTACTATTATTTTACCAAACAAACTTTTAAAAAAATTTTACTTTAAATACTTTATAAAAAAAACTATATCAGCATTATAGTTGGAGAGAGCCAAGAGATTGATGTGGGCTACGAATTTGAACGACCAGTCAACACTAGGACTCTAACATGTCATTGGAGGGCGAACTTTTAAATTTACCAAAAAATATTACTATGAAATTTGTAGGAGATATATTCTCAAATTATAAAAATCTACAAAATAAATGTTACTATAATAACTTGTTTGAAAATTTCACGTATGCTTTACTCAGAAAATTTACTTAGTAATTATATTTTAAAAATTTTGCCGAGATTTATAATTAAAATTTACTGGTACATTTTGCTGTAGGAAATTCACTGAAAACTTTTTTCTGTGAAAATATGCCGGAAAATGTTACAATAACGAAGTGACTTGAAAATTATGCTAAGAAATTTATCCTTGCTTAAACTAATGGTTGAGTGATGTCACATGCCAAATATCGTATTAATAGCACATAACGTTAAACATAATATTTAAATATAATTGAATATTATAACTTTAGATAATAATACAATCTCTTAAATTATTAAATTGTATGCTTGTGCTTTTTTTAAAAATAAGTTTCATTGGCATTTGGATTAATGAAAATCTTAAATAACATAAAAAATGCTTAACATCATGAATATTCTTCTTAAAAGTTACTATTTCCAAAATCTGAAATCATTTACCCTCGCTCATAACTTATATTTCTTTAAGAAATTTTTTCCGTCTTAACGTAAGCAATTATCGCCAGAAAAATATCGATTTAAGAATGAGAACTAAGAATCTTAAAATGTAAAACAATGACATTCATAAATTAATCATTAACATCATTAATATTATCTTTTACGATTTTTAATGATCATAAAAATCTAAATATTAATAGAATATTGCGCTACAAAACAAGGATTTTTTTTAAATATAGCTAAGATAAAATTACCTTAATTAACCATTTCTTTATCTTTACGGAATATACATACTATACGCGAGGTGAGCTTAGCTTTCGGTAATAATTTGTTCAGTTGTTTGTTTTGTTTCCAGGTCATAAGAAATCCTTAAAAGTTAATTATCCTTAATTACATACACGTTTAATGGTTATTAATCTTAATACTTATCAATTAAACATTTTTCTATTTTGTGAGAAATTCGTTTCAATACTTATTTTTTAAAGAAAAAAACAAGCAAAAAGTAGGTAGATAAATTTCACATACCTGTCAGAGATCAGGGATTGTGATAAATTATCTCTTTGCAAAAGAAACAAATTTGATAAATGCAGATTCTTAGTTCCAACACGAATATTATTCCCCATGTAAAACGGAAAAAAACGTTGACGGTAATTTTTCAAGTTAAAGTTGCAGTTATACAAAGCATACAATAATTCTTTATAATCCAATTATAAACATTTCATTTAATTGAGTAAGAAAATAATAAATATTTCTTTTTCAATATTAATTAAAAGGATTGATCTATGTTCATTTAAGCAAAAGTAAATATAAAGCATCTCTGATAATATTTTGTGAAATAAATTGATATTTTTACTATGCAATGATGGCATAGTAATTTTTATCGATTTTAAGTATCTATTAAACTGCTAAACCCTGTATCTATCTGCTTAAGTATCTATTAAACTGCTTAAGTATCTATTAAACTGCTAAAAAAAATAATTAAATTTTAGAAATATTTAAATATTAAAATTTAAATAAGACAAATATTTTTATATATTCAAATTGAATAACTTTCCTCCTAATGTGCCAAAATGAAGTTTCTTTTAACCATTTTAAATCCATGATATTTTTAAATTGAATTTTGAATAGCTATGTAATATTTTATAAGTTGAAACGGAAATCATTCGATGTTAAAAATTTTAGGGCAAGTTGAATTAAAATATCTTTCAAATTTTCTGTAATCTTAATATGGTTTTAGGTTAAAAATATAGCTTTTCTTCATGCCATACCATACTACGTTTAATAATCGTGAATAGTAACATAATTAAATTTAATATTTTAAAAATATTGTGTCGATTTTGCACCGTATTGCGGTTCAAGACGGTGCGGTTGAAATAATGGTTTTCCTTCGTAACGACCCGTTTATTTTTGAAATGGCAGCATGAAATCAATATACAGAAAATTTAACAATATTTGTAATTTTGGTATTATTTGAAATTTCTTTCGTTTTCCATAAATCCTTTAACCCCTTCCTTCTCGCTCCCGTAAAAATGACGGGGTGAGTTTTCGCCCGCTATTTCTCGCTCTCGTGATATTGACGGGCTGGAGTGTTCAGCAATAACGCGCCAATAAGAATAAAACTAATTCATTTCTTTTGCCCGGAAAACACTTTATGTCTCATTTTACACACAAAATAGCAGTACCAGGATATTTTTTAAGGTAATTGTGGATAGTTAGTTTATTTTAACTTGATTTCAGCACTAATCAAATGCGTAATACAAATACAAAAGCCAAAAAAATAGGCACTTTTATGACCGTTGTCCTGAAACTTAACCGGGTTAATAAGAATCAATGCATGCATATGCTGCTATAATATCGCCCTTATATGCTGGAAATCATCTAAATATATATATTGGAGTAAGTAAGAGCTGATTCATTTCAAACATCTTTTGTGAAGTTTGTGGGGAGGTATAGTTTGAAAGGTCGTAATGAGTTTTGAAGTATTTGCTTAGGCAGTTTTGATAATGAATGTATAAAATTTAAGTTATGTTTGACTGAATGAAATTTAAGTTAGTTTTAGTCCACTGCATGTGATTTTTTACAGTGGTTTTATTATAATTATAATAACTATGCTGTGCATATTCTTTTATAAAAATAATTAATTTTTGCAAATGTACCTCAGAAAAAAAACATTCATCTTACCTTTAAAAGCTTCACAAATCAAAGAAATGTCAGTTTTTTCTTTATAAGGTCCAGCGACATCACGTATTTCTTGGCCTTTCTCATCGTGTATAGTGAGTTTATTAGGTGGAACTGAGGGAAAATTAAAAATATTCAATATCTAAATAAAATAATAATGCTCAAGTAATTAAAAATAAAATCATATGGCTGGATTTATATAAATAGTAATAAATATATTTATAAAAATGAAACTCAATACTTTAAAATTATTAATTATGTAAAATCTACATCAGAATATCCATCGAATTTGTATAATACAGGGCTAGTCTATAAGATTCGTTTAGGTTATTTTTCTTCAAATATAAGGTGTACGAATACGAGTGATACAGGGAGAAATACATGTACTCACCAGGCTCTTAGCTCGCACTATAAGTAATCAATATATACACATTTGGTCAACTGACAAACGTCCCTATTGCAAGCCAGTCCCTTACATACCTTAAATAACATATTTTATTTTACTGTTCGTATTTGCAATATGTGTTTCTGCAGCATTGTCATTGAAAATATATTAACTTGTAGAGGACTAAGTTTACTTTCCCCTGATGCCAACTTGTGAAGGTCAAAGTTAGTTTATCCATCCTCAATGTCAACTTGTGAAGGGCAAAGTGTAACTATCAGCAAAGCAATCACGAGAAGAAAAAAGTTCATCTATATCCAGTGCCTACTTGGGAAGGACAAAGTTTACCCAACCCTAATGCCAGCTTGTAAAAGTCAAAGTTTATGTACTTTCAATGGTAACAACGCTACGGTGAGAGAGCGCATCCATCAATCTTCCGTCCGTATGTTTCTATATATGACGCAGTTCTTTTACGTAAAAAAACATGCAATTAAATCTGAATTTTTATTGTTATTAAAATAACTTTCAAAAGATGTCTTAAAAAAGTACTATAGTTTTTGGAATTTAATAATAGGAACGGTCTTCAAATACTCCACTTATCTGGAACTTAAGATTGGAAACGGCTCTCAAAAACTTGATTAATTTGGAATTTTATGTATCGAAGGCAATCTTTAAAATTTCAATCAAGTAAGAGGAGTGGCCCCTAAAGAACTTGATTATTTTAAAAATGTATTATAGAAATGGCTTCCATAAACTCGACTATTTCGAAATTTCACTGTAGAAGCGTCCCGAAAAAACAATTTATGTTACAATTCAATTTAATCACAACTCACCAATAACAATAAGATTGACTTTTTTTAGCTCAGTAGCCGACCATTGATAGTCCACTCTACAAAAGTATGAACCCGTGTCTTCTTCTTTGAGTTTGTCCATTTCTAAATAGAGTTCATCTCCTTCCACATGGAATTGAACTCTATCGCTGTAAGTCTCGTTTCTCATGTGGAAAGCGTCAGTTAACTTTCTGTCTCTGGCATCAAGTGTGTATAGAGCTGTTACCCCATCGTTCTTGTACCAGAAAATAAATTCTACGCTGTCCTCTCTTTTCTGTATTACATCACAAGGCATTTTGGCACTGCCTTCCACTAGTGCTTCTATAGTTGTTTCTTGTAGAGCTGAAAATGAAACCAATAATTAGCATTTGATTATATTCAATATAGTGTTTTAATTATGGAACTCCACGCGTAACGGGACTATTTTCTTTTGACTCAGTAAAACATGCAGAATTTGTTTCCTCCTAATTTCAATGTCAATACTTCCTCATGGCATTCATCTTTTGCACTGAGAAATGATAACTATGTTCTTACTATATAATTTCAAAAGAAAAAGAATACCATCAAGTGAAACAGACGTTTTTTTTTTTTTCAAATTTTTTAGAACGAATTTTCTTGCCATTTTATGACGACATACACCAATTTCAGATCAGTGAGGTTAATAGTTATCTTGTAATTAATTTTTAAAACTGCTCGATTAGCCACGTTCCTTAGAACACAGTTAGCTTTCCCATCTCGTCTGATGGCGTCAGAATACAGGACTAATAAGGACTTCTATCACCTCTTAATACAGTAAAAGCATGCACAAGTAAGACATTGATACACAGCGAAACACAACATTGATACAGTGAAACCACAACTAGTTGAACATTCATAAAAAATAATCAAAAATAACTTCAATCACTTACAACAAGTATTGTTTATACCACATTGCAATTGCTTAATATTTAACATACCATATAAAATATTTTTAGTGTACCAAAATGAGTAAAGGATTGATGCAAAGCTCATTTTACAGTATTTAGTAATATTTTAATTTAATATGATTGTATTGCTTTCGATTAAGCTTTGCTGAAGAAATAATTTATTATGCTGAATTAAAAGAAATGCTCTTTAATTTACTATCTTTTTCTTTTTTTATTCCTTGAAATGAAAAGATTTTATTCTTAAAGAGTAATCGTATTCAAGTTTTTCCTTTTATAAATATTCCTTCGTTTCATTAAACAACCTATTTCGTTTCCTTCTGTATTAACTTCTCCGTCTAAAACATATGTATTTTAGTTTTTTACTTTATTGAAATCGAAATACCTTAGAGTTATAAGTGATTTATTTTATTTTTTTGTAGTTGAGCCTAGGAAAAAGTTAAGAATAAAATAAAGAGTGAAAGAGGCTTAAAATTATTTGCATCCCTTCTAATAAAAACTAAAAAAAATATTTTAAAAGTGAATAAAAAAAATTAAGCTATTTTTTGAGAAAATTATTAAAAATTATTTCCCTAGAAAATTTTAATTACAAATTTTATACATTTCCTTATTTTCTGTCTGCAGTCAAACGAACAAAAAATTTTTAAAGCAATTCATATTTTAATGTTTGTTGTTAATAAAAATAACTCATCATTAATAAAAAATAAAAAAATTCGTCAAAAGTTATTGAAAAAAGTACAAGTCAGGAAAGTAGTTTAAAAAAAATTTTATTTTATTGAATCAATGTATTTTATTATGTCAAGGTCACCTACAGAAATCTTCTCAGGAGAAGGGGGAGGGATATTCAATCGGAAAAAAACATTCCTCGAAATATTTTGAAAATCATGTTTCAATTTTGTTTTAAGAAGCAAATTTCGAAAGCAGCAAATTTCGGAACAAAATTTGCAATTTTAGTAAAATTTAAGTTTTAAAAAAATCATATTTCATTTCATTTCTTCCAGAAAAAGTAGTACTTTATTTACGACACAATTTAAATTCCTTAAACTACCTTTGATATAAACACTCATAAAAATGCCATTGTGTTTTTATAGTTCTTTTCTTCCTTTTTTCGTAAATTTTGTTTGTATTTTATTTTGCAAAATGCATCTTGTAAACATATTTTAGTCGCATAAAATTTTTAAATAAAACTTTAGTGTCCAGCTAATTACTTTGAATAAATTTAATGCTACACCGAAGAAAAATTATTACAAATGAATGAATGTTTATTTTTTGTAGTTTTTCAGGGAAGGAGGTTTTAAGAATAAAAATAGTAATTAAATAAATAGCTAAAAAAATAATCAAATATATAAATGGTTAAGAATTATTTGTATCTCTAGTAAAAAAACTTAAAATTCTTAATCTTAAATATTTCCATTTCCTATCTGGGATCAAACCATTGGGTGAAAAATTTCGAAACACTTGTTATTTCTATGTGTAGACCAGTTTAAAATGAAGAAATTGAATTTTTTTTAATAAAAAATATCTATTCCCAAACCAAATATCCTTCTCTGTCAGAGTTATATCAAATAGTTAACACTATTTTGTGAAACATAAGATTAAAATAAAACACCTTTGTAAACAATATCACTTCACCCTATGACAAGTTTTGGGTCGGCTAATTTCCTTTACCCAGGATCATATATGGCAACGTTACTTTTAAAAAGTAACGAGTAAAAGTACAAGTATTTTTAAAAAAAGTAACGAGTAAAAAGTAAAAAGTTCGTATTTTAAAAAGTAACGAGTAAAAAGTACAAGTAAAAGTACAAGTACTAAGCAAAAAAGTAACGATTTAAAAGTACATTTCTAGGAAATCGAAAATTCAAAGTAACCTAAAATTTTATTGAATAATATTCTTATGTTCTTTAATGATTTTGCAAAATTGTTGTTACTTATTTAATTATTTTTAATTTTGAAAGTTATGGACATTAATTTATTTTTAAATTCGGAAGAATATTATAATATAATTTTATAATATAATCGTATAATATAATTTTAAAATCAAATATAATTTTAATATCAAACTTTTTATGGATTTGCACGAAAAAGAAATTTTATCTATTGATTTTAATTTTTAGTTTATTATTTTTATTTATTTAAATTACCATTGATTTAAAATTGTTTTACTCTTTAGAAACGCGTTTTAAAAGCACAAACATAAACAAAGCAAACACGGGGTTTCAGATAGCTTTGTGATCTTTGAGCTAGTAAAAAATAATTGAATGTGCAGTATAAGTTGAAACAGAACAGTCTACAGTTTTATTTGTAACAATGGCTAATGCTGAAGTCATGCGAGAAAATCATTTTCCGAACATTTCTGCCTAACGGAATAATTAAAATTTGTAAACGAATTTTAGTATCAGCGGCTAAATTAATACCTTCGAGTTTTCAAGAGTTAAAATAGTAATTATAATAGTTTTCAATAGCACAAATAGTTCTGAAGTTCTTAGAGATTTGACTGGGCGTTGTTTGACAAGGTCGGGCATAAACATAATTTTAGTAAAAAATGTACTAGGTAAAAATGTATTTAGTAAAAAATGTATTAAGACAAAAATGTATTATTAGTGAGTTCAAAAAGAAAATTGAAAAACGTAATAACAAAATCCAACATTTTTTATTTAAAATGTATTAAATAAATGCATAAAACTCGAAAATGAATGAAAATAACTTGCTAATTAATATTTTTATTCATTTTGCAAAATAATTGCATTTCGAAAGTGGTGTCACTGAGTCTGCTGCGAGAATTTCTCAGAACGTGCTTAGCCACGCTGAATAAGCGCTCCACGGGAGCACTAGAAGGTACTGCAGTATTATATTTCACATATAATTTTTTTACGATTGGATATCGATTCAAAATTGATATGCTTTCCGTTTCGACATTTGAGCTCATGTATGCCATAAATTCTTCTGTCGCTGGTGATTGGCATGATGTTTTCAGCTTTAGAAAATTTAAAATCCCTGGGTTTTTTTCTGTTACGTTATTAGTTATAGCAGGGTGTTCAGCTTGGACAATTCTTTCCAATTTTTTTGTAGCCTCCTCCCTAGCTTTTTCTTCCAACCAATTAAATTTGATGCAAGGTACCAGACCTGCAGCAAACAATAAATCGTCCTGCGATTTCACATCGCGAAACCTTTCGCAGTTCAAAAGAGCCGTCTTTTCCCTTTCAGGAATGACAATTTTAAAAGGTCAAGGTATTTGAACACGAAGTTAGCTGTGAATGCATATATATTGCGCATTAATTTTAAAAATTAAAAAAACATAAGCATTTTTTAAAAAAATATTTATTTTTTATTTTTTTCTTATTTTTAGAAAGCTTACCGAGTTTTAGAAAAAAGTAACGATTTCATTCGACATTTCCGTTACAAATACTTGTACTTTTTCCCTAAAAAAGTAACGAAAGTACAAGTAAAAGTACTAAATTTAAAAAGTAACGAAGTACAAGTAAAAGTACGTACTTTTTACTTGTACCGGCGGTACAAGTAACGAAAGTAAAAGTACAGCCATATATGCCCAGGATATGGATTCTGACGTCATTAGCATTTCCCTCCTCTTTTTGAATCACGGGAAATTAGTTTTATTTTAATCTAATTTTAAGTTAGGATTTTAAATAATTCATGCCAATTTTGAACAGAAATGATTTTTGGGAGTTTTAAATTATAGACTATTCAAATTAATCACGATAAAGCAATTACCTTATGCACGCAGGTTTCTCATTCTAAATAGCATCCATGGGTTTGCCGACGATAGAACATGGCAGAAGCCAGGAACTACCACTTAATATAATTGTACGAAGTGTGACGTAAGCTTAGTTGCTAAGAAATTATTCTACAAGATTTGAAACTTGCAGTTGTCTTGAATTTTCTTACAACGTTTGCGATATTGATGTCTTCAATGCTTGAATACTTATCAAGGAAATCCTTTGTCCCTCCCCCCTCAATTACTCATTACGAATTCATAATTGTGCTTGTTGACAAATTAGTACTTTGCGTATTAAACACTTCCCAACTGATAAATTTCAATCTCTGAAATATAAAATTAGGCTTATTAACATTCAAAACATAGAAGAAAATGAATACTAGCTATGAAAAATGCTAGAAAACAATTTGCGGATGTTTTGTTGTCCTATTCACGTCACGCGGATATACTGTATACGCCTATGCTAATGCCTAACTAATGATGGAACTTAACATTTTGAAACTTGTTGTGTGCTAATGTGTATTAGTTATATTCATGTCGCTTGCTTATTTTCGCATTGATTGTACTCATGTAAAATAATAATCTGTAATACAGTAATACACAAGATTTTGCATGTCTATCTGATCAACACACAAACAATCTGGAAGGACCAGACTGGTCCCTTCATTCCTTCTAAGTATACAGCA